CACCACACCTGGGCACTTCCTATTAGCACTGCCTTATGTCAGTTCATGCCCAATGTAGATACCTTATGAGTCTGGTTTTGACAACTCCGGGGCATACGCCTGTGCGAAAGGACCCGTTGAGTGAACGCGCTTGTTGCTACACCTAGCAATGTCAAAAGTACCGAACGTCACATCACAAAAGCATTGGCAAGCACATGAGTTACAGATTTACTCTGAGATTTGATATACGTAGACTAGCTGACCATAATCATCATGCCACATATCAGCGGTACTGCACCCTGCAACTCATATGCAAGGCCCTAGACCACCGCGAAAGAGAAGTCGTTTTCGCGTCATGTCGTGAAGCGTGAATCGTTAACCGGGGTACTCAGCCTGAAGCCGTGGAGGCGCAGGCGACGAAAGCAAGCCGCATGGAGCAGGCTAGCTAAGCACTTTTGGAAGAAGGTGAAGGGCTTTGGAAAACCAAAGCAGCTTACCAGGCAGCGGCCTTGTCGTCGGCGTCGGCATCAGCAGAGAAGCCTCCTCCACCTCCACCGAAACCGCCGTCATCGCCACCGAAGCCAGTGTCAGCGGCAGCCTCTCCACCGAAGCCAGTAGCATCAGCGTCGAAACCGCCTGCATCGCCTCCACCGAAACCACCACCAAGGCCATCATCAGACTCATCGTCAGTGCCGTCGTGCCACTCGATGGTGTTGGGATCCTCGGGCATGTGCTCTTGGAGAAACTCTGGAATTTCCTGCTTGCTCTCGCATAGAATCTTGCAGAGATCTGGGCCAATGTCTTCGTTCCGGTCGTTGAAGAAAGACGTGGCCTTGCCCTCGTTGCCGATACGCGCGGTACGACCAATGCGATGAATGTACTCAGTAATGCCGTCATGCATGGTTGAAGGAAGGTCGTAGTTGATGACATGCTTGACATTTGCGACATCAAGGCCACGCGCAGTGACACCGGTAGCGACGAGAATTGGGCAGCGGCCGGTACGGAAGGACCGAAGAGCGTCTTCACGCTCGCGCTGAGTACGATCTGAATGGATTGAGGTGACAGGCATGCCCTTGTTATAGAGAAAGTCATCGACCATGTCGCACTTCACCTTGGAGTTGGTGAAGACAAGGGTGCTGTAGTGACAAAGTTAGCATCTTGCGCTCGTTTTGGATGTCAGAGGGGCTGCACGTACCGCTGAGGGCCTTCGCTGAAGATCAAGTCAAACAGTGCCTGGCTCTTGGCGCTCTCCTCTGCGAAGATGACCTGCTGGGTGATGTTTTGATGGGTGCTGCCAACCCTACCAACCTCTGTATATTGTGAGTGGGCTATTCGTTAAGCAGGGGAGATGAAAACATACTGATACGAACGCAATCCTCATCCATGTATTCACGTGTCAGACGACGAGCTGACTTGGGGAATGTGGCGGAGAACATGAGATACGTGTGGTCGGCGTCGTCGTTCTGGTCTAAGCGGTGGTCAGTAGGTAATACAAAAGATGATCTAGCGAGTAATTCTTGGAAATCCTTGCTGGGGAGAATGTGTCGACATACCTGAACCAGCGAACAACTTCTCCATGGCCTCTTCCCAACCAGAGGAAAGGAGCTCGTCAGCCTCGTCAATTACGGTGAACCTGTTCGTGTTAGTCAGTTATTAAGTACCTTACAGGATTGCTTGACTTACTTCAGGCGGTTGAAGGACAGCAGGTTGATGTTAGACATAAAGTCCATGAGCCGACCCGGAGTCGCGATGAGAATGTCACAGCCCATCTCGAGCTGTTCCCGCTGATTCCTGCTGGGCGCGCCACCGTAGATGACGCAAGGACGCAACATAGTGCGGTAGCACACTAAACGGAGGTTATGAAGTCAGTATGTGTCTCACATGAATGTTGTACTGGGGTACCTACGACGACGTGCCTCGTCAAAGATCTATCACAAAACCAGGTCAGTATACGTTCAGCATGTACTTCACATGATGGAAACTTACCTGACAAGCAAGCTCACGCGTAGGACAGACGACCAAGACGAGCGGCTCCGCACGGACTTTGTCGGTGAGAGGGTTGTAGCGGACCGGGTTGGGGCGCGGCGCAGCGAGTTGACGGGCCTTGCCCATGAGCTTGGACAGAATCGGGAGGAGGAACGCAGCAGTCTTGCCGGAACCTGAGTAGTGTTAGTAGGAAGTAGAGTGAGTACGGACGAGGCAACTCACCAGTCTGTGCAACGGCGACCACATCGTGTCCAGTCAAGATAGCAGGGATGCAGTAGGACTGAATCGGGGTCGGGGCATTGTACTGGCACAACTTGACGTTGTCAAGCATGATCGGGTGGAGACCGGCATCTTCGAACTGACAAAGTTTAGCAAAGAAGCACGCGAAGACCTGCAGGCCCAAGTTTCGGTGACTTACGTTGCGGACGGGGCTGATCTTGGTGGGACCCGAGAGAGTCACGTCGAAGGAGAGCGCCTTGATTGCACCACCGGCGCGCTGGAGATACTGGTCGGTGAAGAGCATCTTCTCGAGCTCAGGGTTGGGCTCTCCAACATCGCCGAACTCGTCGTCCCACTGGTAAATAGCAGCGTCCGAGAGCCAGACAGCAGTGTCGCGAGTATCGTCCTCGGCAGGAGTGCCACCAACGACTGTCTCATACTGGAAGGGAACTGGGTTGTTCCATCCGGCTTCCTGGGCGCGCGCAAGATCTTGAGCCTGCTGCTCCTTGCGGGCAGCGCCGGCGTCGGTCGCAGTTGCCTCGGGAGCTCCTGCGTCAGACATGACGATGAGGGGAGAAGGTAGTAAGTGTAGAAAGTGTAGCTGTTGCTTGAACGAGGTTGCTAAATGCAGCGTGGATGAGAGTTGGGGATGTGGGGTAAGGGAGTTGGAGGTCGCGGGGAGAAAAGTTTGTGTTGTTTATATGGACGTAAAGGGTAGGAGCTGTGCGCAGTAGCGTCCCTTAGCGCGCTTTCCAAAGGAGATACTGGTGCCTGGGTGACCACGACGATAAGCGAGAGGCCAGAAGCTTCCACATTTGAGGTGAGTGAGGATAGGTGAAGGAGATAGTGATGGGACTGCCGGTATCTGTCCTGCGGTATCAAGATGATATCGACGCACTGTACGATGACGCAGCAGTTTCTGGCAGCTCTGACGAGTGGACTGTCATCCCGGATCAAGCATGAACGACTCGACTCAAACTGAAGAAGCAGCTGGCCAGATGAAACCCGAGCTCTTATATCTAGCACGCAGGCACAGCGGTGAAGTGACGCTCGAGGCGATGGCCCCACGGTGAGAACAATGGTGAGAGTTATGGAGATGGCGAGGCCCGCATGAGGGATCCTATCAGACTGAAAGTGATGTGTCGGTGGGCATTTAGATCGATTCATAACCATACACGTCTGTCATGCTCGCTGCCATTTTCTCACACAACAGCAACATGGAAGAATTGTTGCTGAGAGCAGCGAATAGCTATTAGCTTCCTTTTCTCTTACTTTGAACGAAGGTGTACTTTTCTGCCTCTAAAATATGTGACAGGCAGGGCGCTTTGCGAAGATGAGGACTGAGAAGTGACTTGACAATGAATTGGGAGATGTCGATAAGAATGGAAAGGTCGCAATGGGAGATCTTCTTACATGTACACACGTACTGAACCTACCTAGGTACTATCGCATGGTTCAAATTTGCAACAAGGCCAGTGTTGTCAAGACTTCGCTTCATCTTACAAGTCGTTGGGTGAGACCAACTTACATTTCCAACCCCTTGTGAGGTAGATGCAATACACTTAGCCCAAACGGGCCTGTCTGCACATAGCACGACTCTGTACTGTATGTTACCCGTGACGTGTAAGATAGTACGGAATCGCGGCCGCAAGAAGTCGCGAATATGTAAAGATTTACAGAAGACGTCTGCAGCAGTCGTCGTCAAGACGTGACCCAAGGAGGACACTATGCCGGAACCGAGCTGGCGTACCGTGCCTGATTCATGCATGGCGGGCCGACTGATTCACACGCGCGATGACGCGCTATGCATGCCGACTCCAACTTCGCTCACAGCCGTTACGTTCGTCTTCTTGACTACGACTTCCGAGATCGAGACTACGGAATGGTCGTTGTCAGCTATACGTTCTGCGGCGCATTGGGGAAGGCACTACTGACAGACTTCTTCGCAGCCTCCGCAGCTTCCTCAGCCCCTCGATCGCTCTACCCACGATCGCCGCCCTACGACCATGTACACGATAGCAATACGCGTCGGACGCGTGCCCTACGATAGAACCCACAGTATTCCCTCACTACACCGCTGTTCTTTGCGCGATCTCGACACTGCCGACCGCAGCTTCGACAGCAGCCACAGCGCTGACTTAGACGCGCAAACCCACCTGCATCGGCAGTGCCTTGTCGACGGCCATAGACACCTAGAGGCTTTAGCAGGACGATGGGACTTAACTGATAGACAGAGCTGTGCCGCAAAGATGTAGCGCCGAAAATGCACACGAGTCTCAGGAGTACTCCAACGTACCGACGACACCACGTAGCTGCATAGACTCCAGCGACCAGAGCGACGAAGTATCAGATTACTGTACTGCGAGATACAAAAATCTCTTCGCCATAATGGCACACGCCGCCTCACGAGCGACCGAAACTTCTTGGTGAAGAGCCCACACCATAGGAGTACCTCACGCGTAGGTCTCTAGCCCGACATGCGAAGCTATACGCCTGAAGAGGTGGGGAATAACACGGACACACAGCCATGGTGATGCGCGCTCTCTCTCTCTACACGAGAGAGCATCTCTCACATCTGTCATGTTGGAAGCCGGCCACTGCAATGTGAGCCGCGAAGTCCAAGTCGTCGTCAACAGTCCTTTGAGATGACGAAGGATACAGGACGTTCCGGAAGTCCCATTCTCTGCTCCAGAACCCCCCCGTATGCTTCGTTCAACTAGAAGTTTGTCAGCTTTGTTTGTTATGTGTATTCCAAGAGGATGTTGTCTCCATCAATGGAAAAGCATTGACTTCCTTCAAGTCGATGTGGATTGGGCTTACTTGTTGCGCCTCCATTTTGCAGGCGGTTTGCCCCAGCCTCCCAAGAGGTTGCTGTAGCGGCGTGGATCTATGCTCGGATCCCACAGCGACTCTCCAGGACGGAGCGGCATGTACTGCTCGTCACCCCTGGGGCCGTCGGGAACCGGCTTCTTCTCCACCTCTGCAAGAAGATGCGGCGGGTATCGCTCGTTGACCTTGGGGACGGTAGGGGCTGCCTTCTTCACCACCACCTTCTCCGCCTCTTTCGCCGCTGCCCTCTTTCGCTCCGCCTTCTCTTGTTCCGCCTTCTGTCGTTCCTCCCTCTTTGCGAGGGTGACGCTGGTAGGCTCGAAGCCGCCTAGGTCGAAGCGCTTGGTCTTGCCGTCGACGAGACGGTTGCCACCGAGAAACATAGAGCCGTAGTGCGCGGAAGATCTCGAGTTGTCCATCTAATATTACGTCAGCGTTAGTCAACAGTGGCGGGGATTGAAGCTTACCGCGGCGGAGACGTGCAATGCAGATATATCTCTTATTATAAGTCAGTATGCTATTGAGTCTTTCAATGTTCTTGAGCTTCTCCCCAAAGCAGGTAGCATTGTAGTCATAGGTAGACTGCTACCCCGCCGTCATGCGTGTGTATGCTCGCGATGGCGCGACCGTGGTCTGATCGAATACCTCGAGGCGACTGCGAGACAGTCGAAGAGCATTGAGAAACTTACGGGTACTTATGTGTCGGTAGCTGGGGTTCTTATTATAAAGGTGGCGTTGAGGGTGGTGCGGTGATTGTGTTAGGAGCACGAAGCAACAGGCAGATTTGCCTGGGAATGCTCGGACGATCTGTTTGCACCTCCGCACTCACCCCATCACCTTGTACTTTGCCACCTCTTGGGAGCAGTGCATGCGACGCCGCTAGCCGCTGGCGCCTCCGAGATCCCTCTTGCTCATTGAGCCAGTTCATCTCTTCGAAAGCAGTCCTCGGATACCGATCGATGTCCCCAGCTTGCGACACGCCTCAGACGGAACCGCTTTTCAACGAGGTCGCGAAGGAAGATAGCAGCAGGCCGAGTCATGCTCACCTGTTGTCTCTCGAGACAGTCGATCATCCAACGAGCATGGACTTGAACAAACAATTGAGATGTCAAGGCGGAGATACAGCAAACAGCCAGCCCGCTTATTAGCTGTCCGAGTCATAGTATGGCAATTGGAGAAGGTAAATGTCCTCGAGCTCGACAGACTGTCCTTAGTGAAGCCCGTAAGAAGTATCGCTGTAAAGCACGCCCCTCGATCTTCTGATATGCTGGGCCAAGTCACAGTGCCCGCATGTATATATAGTCACATAGTCCCCTGTGTTGTCACTTGCTCAAGTCTACATCCACTGTTCCTTGGATACATTCTTCCAACATTCCTAGGGGCTATGCCTTCTGCTTCTCCTTCTGACATGTATCCCGTCGACACAGTAAGCTTCTACTTGTGTAGCGTGCAATCGGCTGGCGAGCAATGTCAAGCTCAAAGGCGAGCTCATTATCTAACGCTTGTGGATTGCTGCATAAGATCTACAGCATAGTTCCACAAAAAGACGTTGGGCATCACACACGTACGAATGCCTAGAGAGCTAAACATGTAGCCGAGTCAGCCGCTAAACGCGAGGCTGTCACGCATGTAGTTTAGGTGAGCTTCTACAAAGTCGTCACCCTATGAATTTCGGGCCGACATGGTATTCTAACAGTACATCATACCAATGCATTCCACCGTCCATCGTGATAATTCTACGTTTAGTTTTTTCTGATGTTGTGCTTGAAGCCACCCGGAATTGGTGGCTTGATAAAGTTAGCGAGACATACGTCATCACTCCCTGACTTCCCTGGCGTTGTCCACGCGACAACCCGCACATCTTGGTTATCTCACATGCACGCCCCTCGTGCACATACCTGCAGGAGATCTCCAGATCTCCAGATTCCATTTTCTTCTTTGTACAACATGCACCCAGACTCGTTGTTGTCTACTGCAGTCTTCACCACACTACCAATTGACTGGCAATGAACGACCCCGGCCTCGACGAGCCAGCAGGCGCGGCAGCGCAAGATGTTAATGACACAGTCCACGACGAAGACGAACAAGCCGAGCAGGAAGAGCGGGAATATCTCGATCCAAGTTATGTCGCCCAGTGCCTCGACATCGCTTTACGTACGCTGACAAACTCAGTCAATGGTGGTTTGCCTCCACAGCGAGTCCCCTCATAGCAGGAACATTCGGCCCCATCGCCAACGGCTTCTCCATCTGCGCTCTCGTTGAAAAATGGAGAGTGTACATTCCGCCTGGAAGCGACGAGGGACACGGCTCGAAGATTACGGATCCGAAATGGCTTATCGCGGTCAACTCCGTCTCGCTCGTCTTTGCTCTGAGTGCAAATATCAGTTTGCTGCTCAACATGTCAAGAAGACTGACGTTTGAGATTGCGCAACCTATCACTATCATCGGCTTCTATCTTGCTGGATTCCTTTTGATGGCGCTCGTGGGGGTCGCTTCGTCATCTGTGTTCCGGATTCAGCCTATGGAAGAACATGCTCTCAGCCAAGCGTATTACTACGCTATCATCGCTGCGGGTATCTACTTCATTATCGCTTCGCTTATGGCCTTTACGGCTTTCGGGGCGTGGAAGGGCCATTACGCTAGAGACTTCCGGCTGACGGCCAGTCAGAGGACGTTGATGCTGCAGACCATCGCTTTCATGGTCTACCTGCTTATCGGCGCTCTGATATTCTCCTACGTGGAAGGCTGGATGTTCCTGGATGCCGTGTTCTGGGCCAACTTTACCCTTCTTACAATAGGTTTCGGCGGGGAGTTTGTGCCTAAAACGCATACTGGCCGCTCACTCCTCATTCCATATGCAATTGGTGGCCTAGTCACAGTTGGTTTGGTCATTGGTTCTATTCGATCTCTTATTCTAGAGCATGGAAAGCAGAAGATGGCTGCTCGCTTCATGGAGGTCAAGAGACAAAAGGTCCTCAAGTCTATCGATGGCGACACACAAACAATCCGCATCTCACTATGGGAGAAGGTTGAGTTCTCCTCGAAAGGATTGACAGAAGCCCAAAGGCGAGAGCAGGAATTCCACATCATGCGCCGCGTGCAAACACTATCCGAGCGCAAGAGGCGATACACCGCATTAGCCCTATCAACCACAGCAGCAATGCTACTATGGTTCCTGGGCGCTCTAGTGTTCATGTACTCCGAAAAGCCGCAAGGATTCAGCTACTTCGTCGCCCTCTACTACGCCTACGTCTCGCTCTTAACGATCGGGTACGGAGACTACGTTGTCGAAAGCAATGCCGGAAAAGCCTTCATGGTCTTCTGGAGCCTCCTCGCCGTACCCACACTAACTATCCTCATCTCCAACATGGGCGACACAGTCATCAAAGCCTTCAAGGACTTCACCATCTGGCTCGGTTCGCTCACCGTCCTACCAGACGAGGAAGGGCTCAGCGCCGCACTCAAAGTCGGATGGACGCGCATCAGATCCGGCAAGATTGGCGAAGAAGAAAAGACAGGCTCCACCAATCCTACCGAACACCGCATTGAGGACCGCTTAGCAGCATACATTGAAGAAGAAGAGCTAGGCAAAGCGGAAGAGGCCGGCGAACATGGCGACTATCTCGAACGCGACATCCGCTTCTACCACTTCGTCCTCGCAAAAGAAGTCCGCAAGCTAATGAAAGACGTCGAAAGCTCATCGTCAAAACAATACGAGTACCACGAATGGCAGTACTACCTGCGTCTAATCGGCCAGGACGAAAACGATCCTTCGCACCACCGCCAGCCCAAAGCCAACACTCCGCATAAGCACGATGATGGCGAAGCTCCTGATATCGGCTCTGCGGACGATGGGAAGAAGCGTGCTTGGAGCTGGCTTGGCATCCGTAGTCCGCTCATGGGCAACCAGTCCGAACCCCAATGGCTACTACAGCGTTTAGCGATGAAGTTGGAATCAGAGATGCGCAAGATGAGTTCGTCTGACGAGAAGGTGAGGAAGGCGAAACCACCCATCTCCATGGCAGAGTTGAGAAAGCGCAAGGGGAGTGGGAAGGCGTCTGAGGAAACGCAGACAAGGACGTTGCAGGAGGATGTCGAGGCTACGGCGGTTGGCCAGCGTGCTGTCAAGAGTGGTTGATGCTGTGAAGGGGGATGTCTAGGGATGATTATGTGAAGTGCATGGTACGGCGTTTGCAAGTAGTTGTTGCTGAGGGGTATACATATATTTCCTACTTCCTCTTCCGTACATACAATTTCAGCAGCTTGAATATTACTCTACCACCCTAATATATTAGTATTATTGCAATCCTCACCATGTCCTCCACACCACCCACCCCCCAACCCACTCTCTATCTCTTACCCCCTCCCGCCCTCCTCCCCTCCCCCCACACCCCCAGCGTCGAACCCGCCTCCCTCGCCATCAGCGCCCTCCTCGGTTCCCTCGCCCTCGTCTTCATAGCAACCTTCCTCATCAGGACCCCTCACAAAGGAAATTTCCTAGACGGCACAAGCGGAACGCCGGGAGAGGAGCAAGCGGGAAAGCAGCTCACTATCAGTGGTCCTCTGGATGCTGTGCTGAGAAGAAATGGGGATGGGAATGATGGGATACCGAGGTTGTGGTCCGGGTTCTCGAGTTCGAATGAGGAGGTTGGGCGGGTTGGGGCAGGAAGGGAGGAAGGGGAGAGGAGGAGGGCGGTTGAACTTGATAATATGCCAGCGAGGATGCCGGATTCGAGTCATAATGGTATGACAGGGTATCCGCCTTATCCGGTGGAACTCGACGTTCTCCCGCGCTCACCACAAGGCATTCATCATCGTTATCCGGATACGTACGCTGGTCGTCCGGTGCCACCACCACCACCACCACCGCCGCCGCCCAAGATTCCAATACCCCAACACAACCCCAACCCTTACACCACCAACTACAACACCCACCCCACCGACATCAACAACAATGCGTCAAGCTCGCGTCCCCCTCCCCTACGCCCCGCCCCCCGCAACCCACGCTACTCCTTCGGCGACGACGACACGACAGTCGTAGGCGACAAAGCGGACGTCGAGACTCTAAGGAGTGATTTGAGTTTCCCGGATACGGATTCGGATAGTGCGAGTTATGAGGAGGAAGTGGATGGGAGGAAGATGGGGTTGGTGGGTAGGCATTGGGAGTGAGTATGTAGGGTGGATTGGGTGAGGGGAGGGGGAGGAGGAGGAAGGAGTGGGGATGGAGATGGGGATGGGGATGGTAGTAATGATTGGAGTCGGAGACGGAACAGGAACGTGAAAGACAATTTTCCTTATCTTGGAATACCGATTAACTTCCTCCTGCAAAATGGATTCGATCATATCATCACTTCAACCTCCCAAAATCAGCCCTAACCTCCACATCCCCCTCCTCATCAACAACCTTCCCTCTATCCCA